GCTACTCTGTTAAAAGCAGCTACTATGTTGAAAGAAGCAGTATTGGAGGTAAAAAGACCACTTCATGAATTATAATTACTGGGTAAATAATTTTATGGTTGGGGGTCACCACAACATAAAGAACGGTGTTAAAGGGTCGCGGCATTAGGAAGGTTGAGAACCACTGTTCTAAGCGACACTTGTGTCTCACACCGAAAGGCTATGTGCCGGAGCTGCCATGGTAGCAGGCAAACAGTACAGTGTCATGCAAGATTAAAGAAGACCTTCAAAATGACACTCGTTAAATATTTAAAATCAAATGTTTTGGAAGAACCGAATACAGTGTATTCTGACACCCGTCACACCATTCTATGTATGACTACATTATAGGTACTCTTGTAGCTGTAGGTCGAATATCATGTCTGAGTAGCCCCTAGCTATTGAGATTTTTTTTCCAATCAGTACTAAAATGCGGCAGCTATTAACTGCTTCATAAACATGGACTCTTTCTTTTATGTGTTATTCATGAGGTCTGTGAAGAATATAGACTTGCATAGAACATGCCACCAATCTCTGCTTATTATGTGGCTATATTGCAGTATGTCAGTGTGTGGGGATGTTTAACCATTAGCCGCCCGGCCAATGGCCGTTTGGCGGCTTCAAAAGTGTTGCTGCATTCCTGGTGCACGCCATTTGGCGTGCTCCCGCACATGCGCAGTTTGCGCTAATGCAGAGCGGCGCAGCAGCTCGATCTGTCACCGGCCGTGTACCTCGGACACGGCCGAAGACAGATCCGAGTACCGGCTCCCGTTGCTGGTACCATGTTACCTGCTGTGACCAATCACAGCATGTCACATGACAGTTGTATACAATGGATGGCTTCATTCATGCCATCCATTGTATACTAGTGCCTAGCTGTGAATGGTCACAGCTAATCACATGCACATGTCATGTGATTAGCTGTGACCAAATCACAGCTAAGCACAAAAAAAAAAAAAAGCTGAATGAATCGATTTCATTCAGGTAAATGCTTGCTTATAGCAAAGTAATTCTTTGCTATAAGCAAATTGTGTAAAAAAAAAAATACTGATCACTTCCCCAAAGTAGTACAATGTTACTATGGTAACATTGTACTACTTTGGTCATAGTAAAATATGAAAAAAATCTTAAAAAAAATAAAAATGTAATAAAAAATAAAAAAATATTTTTTTTTTCATACTGTCACCAGTCAGTGTCCCTGTTCACCGCCATGCCAGTTATATAGTACTGCACTGGTGACAGTATGTAAAAAAAAATTAGTGAAAATAATTTTTTTAATTTTTTAATTTTCCGAAAAATTATGACAAAAAAAATACAACTTCAAAAAACTCGCCATTCCTCTTATGAATTACGTCGGACTGTCTACTCTGCAAAAAGGGTCATTTGGGGATATCTACTATTCTGACATTCTTGGACCTCAAGAAATTAGATTGGCTGTCAGTACTACATCATGATTGATCAATTTTCAGATCTATACCATAGTTTGTGAACTCTATAACTTTCCTACAAACTAAATAATACATCCTAATTTGGGTTATTTTCACCAAAGACATGTAGCAGAATACATCTCGGCCTAAATTTATGAAGAACAAATTATTTATTTGTAAACTTTTATAACAGAAACAAAGAAAAATGTGTTTTTTTTTTCAAAATTTTTGGTCTTTTTTTGTTAATTTAGCAAAAAATAAAAACCCCAGCAGTGATTAAATACCACCAAAAAAAAGCTCTAGTTGTGTGAAGAAAATGATAAAATTTTAGTTTGGGTACAATGTTGTATGACCGCGCAATTGTCATTCAAAGTGTGAGAGCGCTGAAACCTGAAAAATGGCCTGGGCAGGAAGGTGTAAAATTGCCCGGTATTGAAATGATTAAATAAATGTAGTAAAGTTTTTAAAGGATAGGTTCACCTTTTGTAAATAAATAAATGTACATTTTTTGCAGGTTCAAAAAAGTGCATTTTATATATTTTTTTTTTTTTCTAAGGAGCCTGCAGAGCATTGCAGTCTAAGGTTACAATCTCAGTCTCCTGCAGTCTCTCGGCACACCCTCCAGTCTACATGCCTAAGCTAAGGGAAGATCGATTCCAGGAAGTAAATGCTGCTGCCTTTATTCAAGATGGACGCAGCCAGAAATTCTAGAGGGTGTTTTTCAAAGTGATTCAAAGCAAGGAGACATGAATGGATGGGAAGTTTGCTTTGAATATTAAAAAGGAATTAAATAGATTTTTTTGGTTTGTGGCGCTCGGATGCAGTGTAATTATGCTTTATTAAGAACGTTTCAAATGTTTCTGATTTCTCCTGGGAGTCTATGATGAGATACAGTATGTAAGACACACTCCTGGCCGTAGACTAGGACATTTTTCCACAAAATAAAATAAAATAAATTATATTCTACAAAATGTATCCAGCTTTAGATATGTTTTTGTGATCAGAACCTGGTAGAAATTGCTGGAAAAATGTCTCGGTGTATGAGCAGCATAAGGGTTGGTCTTATTTGTATGCCTTAGTCTTTCTTGAAGCCCTTTTAAAAGTAATCCTTTCCATTGAAATAAAAAACAGAAGATGGAGCAGTTCGTAAAAGCAGGGACTTCTGGGTACCTGCATATACCTTTCCTCTATCAAAGCAACCCAGGACTGGCCTACCACCTCTTTTATCTTACTGCTGGCCTCTGGTGTCTCATTTAAAGGTGAATACTGAGGCATGAGAAGAAATGGGCCTACCACGTGTTCTGGTTTTCCTTAATGCCTTGGAAGAGCAGGACAACTTTAGGTGCCTTCTTTTTAGTTCTGGTTCCACTTATCAATGGTTTTTCAATGGAATTATTTACTTTAAGCACCTTCAGTTCCAATTTGGCAGTGCTGAATGCAGTTGTTAAAGTAAGCCTCAAAGGATGGACATATGGAGCCACCATTGCTAAATTTTGTTTTTTGATTGCGCAGGCGCCAAGATTCCTTTCCGATCCTTGTTTTATTAGCTAGCAAGTTACTGACTGTTAACATGCAGACAGTGATTTTCTGAAAAATCCAATCCAAACTTCATGCCTTTTGTCCAGGTCAGTGGTTTGCTGTTTATTGAAACTACCATTGAGGTTATAGCTGCAGAGCTTGAACCTTGAAAACGGTAATGGTAGCTGCCATATTTTTGGCAGAATTTTAAAAAGCTGAAAGGATGCAGGCAATATTGATGGAAACAGGATTTCTCATTTTATAAAAGCAATATGAGACAAATATATTTTAATTGTGAGGAGCAGAAGTGTTATTCCCAGTATGCAGGAATCAACGCGCGATAATGAACAATTTAGATAACCCCAGAACCGCATTTGTGTTGCATGTTTTATTGACCTTCTGTTGATTTAATAAATTAGCTTTTTCATTGGAACCTTGGCAGAGATCAAGCTCAACTTTTTGAAATTAAAATTTGTATTTTACTATCAGCTAACGATATCGCGTTATCTACTGATTTTTGTTTTATTTTAATCAAGCATTCAGCAAGTATCTCTAAACCCTTTCATACATAGTGATGACTGTTTTAAAGAACTTCTGTATATTGGTACAGTGTGGCCACATATATAGTTATGAATTGAATTTAAACATTTAATGTTTCTGATTTCAAAGTATTGCTGTTACATTTACTGTACCTATGTTTTTAGATCCTTAACCCTTTGAGGACCAAGGTACGTATTTGTCCCATGTTTGTAATTGCGTGTATCATCTGATTAAGAATTTAAAACTTTTTTTTTTTTTTTTTTGGTTTGAGTCAAAATATTAGTTCTTATCAACAAACAACAAATGGATCTAGCTTTTTGCCAATTATTTCATGAAATTGCTTAGTTACAGCAACTGAAGTGTACGAACTTTAAAAACAAAAAAATTGATTCTTTTGGCGTTCCAAAACCTTACGGCCCTCAAAGGTTAAAAAAACTTACAAAAAAGAATTCCTTTTTTAATAGGATGCCATATGACTCGGCAAATAAATCTGTCTTCTACATAATGTAAGGTTTTGGTTTTTTTTTTGTCCCTTTCTTATTTATGACATTTGGAAAGAATTGAGAATGCTTTTTCAGTCTGTTTATTCACTTAGTCTTTGGACAAACTTGTTCAGAATGCAGGCCTGGATCTAAAGCAGAAATATTTGTATTTGTACTTTTGTTTCCAGAATATTTTGTCCTTACCTTGGTTTGTGGTTTTCTATTTAGTGGCAAGAATGAACAATTGGCTATGATGGGGAAGCTGCACAGCTGTCCTTTATTTTGAGCAGTTTATCTGACTGTAGTTGTCATTGTATGAAATGTCTTAAGCACTTGTGTTGCTGATATGGCACATTGCTTCATGTTAGGTGCATTTCTCATGATGATGCACTGATTGACAGCACATTCTCAGAATATGTATCACTCAGGACGGGTCAAACATCCATAGCTTTTTCTATGCTTATACATACTTCTTAGCCAGAGCAATTAAGACTTAGGGTCTGTTTTGAGGGGTTTCAGTAGGCAAATGCAACGTGCTTTTAGAATCCTTTTTGAGATTAGTTCATTGCAGGTGCAGTTGACCTGCTTTTGACCAGACTCAGATGCTTTTGCATTCCCATAGACCTGTATGAGGAGAAAAGCAGATCTGAAGTCAAATAAGCCTTTTGACACAGGCCCTTAATCCACAGGCAGAGCAGAATAGAAATGGCCAGGATTAGGTTCATAATCTCTGCTATCACTCTTTGAGAAAAGGCTGTAACGTTACCTAGCATATTGGGGTGACGTGATGACTTTAGAAGAATGAAGAGGTTTTGAGTTTGCAGAGGAATCACTGATGCCATTCATCTTTGTCTTTCAAGAGTCTCAGAATGGAGCATTGACATCACACTGTCTTCCCTCGATGTGACTTCATATGCCCTGCTTTTTTTAGTTTTAAATTATCTTCACAAGACCATCTTTGTCACAGTTGGCATGGCATTGTTTGTCTGGTGCATTCTCACTATTTCTTGTGCAGATCTGCCTGAGGGCCAACCCAACTGCACAGCGCTGCCACACAACCGCTACAGTGACGTGGCACTCTGGTGCTCATGGCCCGGTGGGCTTCCGCTGGCACAGCTTTACTGGATGAAACAAAGTGAGGAGGACAGCATCATTGTGTCAAAGTCTAATGCCACCCTTCTAAAGAGTGGGGCTGATATGAAGAACCGCACCACATTTCACTGCTCTATATTTCACCCCTCTCTCAAGAAGAACATCACATGCAACACCACCGTTGGTAAGTTGAGACCATAGTAACATGGGTTCGTAATAAGAATTTAAGCGTTGTCTTCATAAAATGGGAAGCACATCTTTGATTTCCAGATTTCAGCTCTACTATCCAATAAACTACACTTTTTTTTTAATTCTGTTTTTAAATTACAGTAAGGTTGTGGTTTGCAAAAGTCCTTCTTTTTCTGACACTTTTATTTTCTGCTTTGTCACAGGCCATACCATCTCTGCCTTATTAGAAATCTTAGTTTAGCAACTCATTTCTTTGTTAAGGCTGGATAACCTTAGGCAAGAAAAGAGGATGGTTCCACATACTCTCCCACTGGCCACCTAACCACCAGGCACTGAACAATCTATTAAGCCAAATGGCTCTTTACATGTCAGTGTGTAATGTTTTAAGGTCTGAACTGGTATGATTTGACGCTGTAGGCCTGTCGGCTCAAACTACTCCCATGGCAAAGGATGTAACAGAAATGTGGGCCCACATTTTGACAACATGAAAAATAGTGGGACAGGAGCTTTTGAAATTCTAAAAGTTCCAGCCAAGTCAATAGCAAACATACACTGATCTGTGCTTTCTTATAGACATCTTGATTATTATCCTGACCCTGACAATGATCTCTAAACATATCTTAGTAACTAACTAAAAGGGTAATGTTAAAACTTTTTTTTGTAGATTTCAATACAACCCAAATTTAAAAAAAAAAAATAGGATGTTGTGTAAAATCTACATAAAAACAAAATGCAAAGATCTGCAAATCTCATCAACCCATATTTTATCCACAATAGAAAACATGTCAAATGTTTAATCTGAGAAAATATACCATTTTAAGAAAAAAATAAGGTTGTTTTGAAATTGATGGCAGCAACACGTCTCAAATAATTTGGGGCTGGGCCATGTTGACCATGGTGTAGCATCTCTTCTTCTTTTAACAACACTCTGTAAACATCTGGGACGTGAGGAGACAACTTGCTGGAGTTTTTTGGGAGAGGAATGTCCTCCCATTCATACCTGTGCATATCCTGCTGGTTATACCTGGATTTATCTTTCAACATTGATAGCGCATTTTCAAATGTGCAAGCTGCCAATTTCATACACACTAATATACCCCCATACCACTAGAGATGCAGGTTTTTCAGCTGAGCGCCCATGTTTGTCAAAAAGAATGTCAAATTTTGATTTGTCTGCCCAAAGAACAGTTTTCCACTTTGCAACAGACCGTTTTAAAGGTGCTTTGGTCAGAGAAGATGGTGGCGCTTGTGGATCATTTTCAGATGTGGCTTCTTCTTTGCATGATAGAGCTTTACTCTGCATGTTTGGATGGCACAACAAAGTGTGTTACTGACAGTGATTTTTTTTGTTTAAAGTATTTCTAAATCCGTGCAGTGATGTCCATCACAGAATCATGCCTGTTTTTAATGCAGTGCCGTCTGAGGGCACAAAGATCATGAGCATCCAATATATGGCCTTGCAAACGGGTTTCTCCAGATTCTCGGAGTCTGTTTAATATTATGTACTGTAGATGATGAGATAGATAGATATAGTATTTTACATTGAAGAACATTTTTTGTGTTTAATCCAAACAACTTTTATTGTCAAGATCATAGTCAAATGGAACAGTACTTACAGAATCCACAATGACATTACTGAAACAGCAGGATTGCACATAAATAGAACAATGTGGATAATCAGATCCCATAATAAACAGAATAACAGAAACGGTAATTAAACAAAACAGAGACCGCAAGGATCCAAAACATTCTTGACAATATCTTGCTTTTTCATTTTTACGTCTTATTCCTTCCCGACCAGATGTAAACAGAAATGGGGGAAAGAAACAAAGCCCAAAACATGTCTTCAAAATAAAAAAAAACCACATCAACAACAACCTCTAGTTCACCCGAGACGTCTCATCAAAAAGAATGGGAGATGCACATGAACTCCCCCAGGGGGAGGAGTGGAGCCACACACCTGATATAAAATATACATTGAGGAACATTGTTCTGAAATTGTTTACTATTTAGATGCAGCTTTTCAGAGGTTGGTGAACCTCTTCCCATCTTCTGAGACACTCTGACTCTAAGATGCCTCTTTCATACCCAGTCATGTTACTGACCTGTTGCCAGTTCACCAGTAATTTGTTGCAAATTGTTCTTCCAGCTCTTCCCTGTTAGTACCACTTACTTTGCCAGCTTTTTGTAGTCCTGTCCAAACTTTTTTTGAGATGTTTTCTGCCATCATTTTCAAAATTACTTTTTTTATGTTAATATGGTATTTTCTTAGTTTAAACATTTGATATGTTTTCTTTTGTGAATAAAATTGTGTTTGAGATTTGCAAAACATTGCATTCTGCTTTTATGTAGAATTTACAAAGCATCCCAACATTTTGGGAATTAGGGTTGTAAAATAGGGAAGAGTCTGTCAGGCTTTTATTACTGTCTTTGTGCCTGTTGGGGAGATTTGTGTACAGATGACTGCGATGAATCAGACTTCCTGTTTCCCATGTCTGGAGAGCTTTCTTCATATATTCCTTAATATCAAAGTAATATGAGAATGTACTCCAGAGAGACGATCAGTATTTTTGTTATTAGGACAGGAGGTAGGGTAGTGAGGGTGTATAGGGATAAATGTGATTTTTACTATCTCCTCTAGCACAACAGTACATCTTAATGAAATATCAGTAATAAAAGTGTAATGGTTAGCACTCTGGACTCCGAATCCAGCGATCCGAGTCACGGCACCATTAATGAGTATGCAATTTTGTGGTTTCAACCTGTCAACACGAGAGATCCAAATGATATATTTATTGGTGAAGATACAGCTGTATGAGAGCTTTAGGTGGCCAGAAGGCGTGCTCTCATACAGTGGTATCTTCACCACATACAGCTGTGTCTTCACCAATAAATATATAATTTGGAGCTCTCGTGCTGACAGGTTGATTATTTCAGGTTGAAACCACAAAACTGCATACTCAAGGGGATACAAGGACACAAACAACAACAAAAACCTGACAGAATATCTAACAATTACCCACTCAGTCCAGAAGCAAAAAAACTTTATTTCAACTTTAAGACCTATTTCACACAATTCTCCAGGGCCATTCACCACTCTTATTTCTCACAGGCACTTTCATTTTATTTCCACAGGGGGGTTTGTCTGAATGCCCTTGTAGTGTTACCAGATCAGGGCTTAGGAAGACAATGGGGTAATATAAGGCCCACTAATGGCATCTGTCTCTTCTTACCTAGAGGAAGCTTTCTGAGTCAAATAGGCAGCATCAATTACTGCAGTGGCCATTGTGGATAAACCAGTATCCTGAATTGACTTATTCTGTCTCGGATATTAATCTGGCTCTTCTCAAAAAAATAAAAAGTAAGCCTTTTGGACTGATGCAATACACACAGGAGAGATGGCACAGCAGGCAGCATCAACTTGTGGTGCAAGTTAAAGATGTACACCTAGTAGCAAGTGGTTAGTCCATGAAACTAAATTGTTCATGTGGTTCTTTGATTCTGTAATAATTATATTGACAGTGCACTGTGGTGTGCCAGGTTGAACTCCTCTTCCTAGACTGATGTACATCCAGACAGTCACTTGTGAGATGTTTTCTCTGTAATAAGCTTTCCGTTGATGCTAGATGTGTCTTGTGAAAGTTCTTCTATGACTGTACTTGCCCTTGTTTACTATACTGTAAATTCTGTATATAGCAGTGTTGTAATCCATTGCATATGTTCTTGTTTGTCAGTGATGCCCTCAGGCGGCCCAAACTGTTCAGCAGTAGCCACCAAACTGAACGAATTTATCATGCTAACGTGTGAATGGATGGGTGGTTTGCCACGTATTACACTGGCGTGGAATTATGGCATGGTCGGAGATATTAAAGAATCCTCAAACATCTATGTTTTTAAACCTGACCGAACATACAATGGCAAGTTATTCACCTGTACCAGCCTTCATCCCATGATAAAAGAACAAAGAGAGTGCCATATCCAACTTGGTAAGATCAAATATGTATTACTCTGAAGGATGATATGCTTTTATTGCATGTAGCAACAAAGATCTTCAGGGTCATATTTGAAATAAATCAATACATAGAGGCTTAGCAACAAAACTGGAAAAATTAATACCAGAGATGTTTCCAGTTATTTAGGAAGATTTATTAAAAGCTCATCCAATGTAGAATATGTGCATGTATCTTTTATAAGTTTACAGTTCACTATAAAATCCTCTCTACACCAGTCTGCTTTTCTTTTTCAGTGACTTCCAAAGTAACCTTGCTTTGTTCACAAGGGTCTAGTATCATTGATGGATTAAACATTGAGGCTATTGTATATTTAGTAAAGAACAAATGGTCTTATATAGCCACAAGTCTTAAGTTGGCTTTTAGTCCCTTACTTGCTCTAGAAAATGTAAAATGGGGGGTTGGATTGCCGCATAAGTTTATCCATATTTGTTGCATTTTATGTGTGCTCACTTCTCATCAACTTTGACCTTTCCTTTCCTTCTCCCTCTCCTTTCCTTCTCCCTCTCCTTTCCTTCTCCCTCTCCTTTCCTTCTCCCTCTCCTTTCCTTCTCCCTCTCCTTTCCTTCTCCCTCTCCTTTCCTTCTCCCTCTCCTTTCCTTCCTTTCCTTTTTTCTCTTCCCCTCTCTCCTTCTCCCTTTCCTTTTTCTCTTCCCCTCTCTCCTTCTCCCTTAACCTTTTTTCTCTTACCCTCTCTCTTTCTCCCTTAACCTTTTTTCTCTTCCCCTCTCTCTTTCTCCCTTAACCTTTTTTCTCTTCCCCTCTCTCCTTCTCCCTTTCCTTTTTTCTCTTCCCCTCTCTCCTTCTCCCTTTCCTTTTTTCTCTTACCCTCTCTCCTTCTCCCTTTCCTTTTTTCTCTTCCCCTCTCTCCTTCTCCCTTTCCTTTTTTCTCTTACCCCTCTCTCCTTCTCCCTTTCCTTTTTTCTCTTCCCCTCTCTCCTTCTCCCTTTCCTTTTTTCTCTTCCCCTCTCTCCTTCTCCCTTTCCTTTTTTCTCTTCCCCTCTCTCCTTCTCCCTTTTCCTTTTTTCTCTTCCCCTCTCTCCTTCTCCCTTTTCCTTTTTTCTCTTCCCCTCTCTCCTTCTCCCTTTTCCTTTTTTCTCTTCCCCTCTCTCCTTCTCCCTTTCCTTTTTTCTTTCTTCTCCCTTTCCTTTTTTCTCTTACCCTCTCTCCTTCTCCCTTAACCTTTTTTCTCTTACCCTCTCTCCTTCTCCCTTAACCTTTTTTCTCTTACCCTCTCTCCTTCTCCCTTAACCTTTTTTCTCTTCCCGTCTCTCCTTCTCCCTTAACCTTTTTTCTCTCCCCTCTCTCCTCCTCCCTTAACCTTTTTTCTCTTCCCGTCTCTCCTCCCTTAACCTTTTTTCTCTTCCCCTCTCTCCTTCTCCCTTTCCTTTTTTCTCTTCCCCTCTCTCCTTCTCCTTTTCCTTTTTTCTCTTCCCCTCTCTCCTTCTCCCTTTCCTTTTTCTCTTCCCCTCTCTCCTTCTTTCATTTTTCTGGTACCAGTTTAATATTACATTACAGGATCACGTTGCAACCCTATATACTTACATGGGAGAAATTTGACAGGCAGCAGCTGTTTGTAGCGTTAGAAAAATTTGCCACAACTCATTGCAGCCATAGCAATGTCTACTCCTCCTACTTCACTGAAATTGTAAATGTTGTGCACCTTCTTTCTCTCAGAGGCACCAGTCCTTGACTCCCCATCAATGGCCAGCTCCATTCTAGAGGGAAATAGCGTCTATATGATTTGCAGTTTGAAATCAGCAACTCCAAGCTCAGAGATCACATGGTATGACAACAACAACCAGGAGATAATCTCCGATTCCCAGAAGTATGGTATATTCAAGGAAAATGGCATGTCAAACCTAACAGTACGAGAAACTGAGTGGGGCAAGGACAGCGGACTGTACCGGTGTATGGCCTCTAATGCAGTGGGAAACAGCTCTCTATTAATACGGCTATATGTCAACAGTACGTATGTGTTTTCTGCTTTACGTATCAAATTCTAGGAGCAAGCCAGGCACACTCTGCAATCAGTCCCCAGTTTACTGGCATTATCCTGCCCTTTCAGCAGAGGGCAAGATTTAGTCATTTCAAGGTAAGCCCTCCTAAAGCTGCAGTTAAGCCAGAATAAGTTTATGCATTTTTTTACATACACTCAGTTTGAGGTGCCCAGGTTTGTGACAGGAAAGCTTAATCCTTAAAAATATAGTTCTGTGAGGGATACAGGAATTTACTGCTGTCTTTAGGAGGATTGGACCCTCTCTACAAAAAAAAAAAAAAAAAAAAAAAACAAAAATAGTAGGCCTATCCTGAGATAACCCCCTTCTACAACCAGCATGTTTTTTGGTAGTGTTCAAGGAGGATTTAAGTGTGTGAAAACCTGAATACAAGCAGTTCCTGGGTTATGAACAAGATATAGGTTTTGTAGGTTTGTTGAATTTGTATGTAAGTTGGAACAGGTACATTTTTTTTTTTTTTTTTTTTCTTTTTAAGTATAACTCCAGCCAAAAATTGTATTTTTAAGCTTTGGATAGCATACAGAAGGATTAACTGGCCATGCAGTGATTTGGGATTGCGGACAGGTCCGCCAGACAGTAGTTGGCAGCATGCGGTGAGCAGCAAGATGGCCACCCAGCAATTTTCAGACATCACACTGCCTCCGTTCTTAAGTACCGTATTTACCGGCATATAAGACGACTTTTTACCCCTTGAAAATCTTCTCAAAAGTCGGGGGTCGTCTTATACACCGGTATACGGCATACTGACACTTTTTAGCCGCCGCCACCCCCCCCCCCCTGCTTCCAATGGAAGGGACACTAATTACATGGGCTGTTTCTTACCTGGTTCCGGTCCCACGACGATCCAGTCCAGGAAGCGCGGCTGCTCCTTCAGTTCGGCCACTGGATGTTCGCGCGGCTGCTCGGCTCCGCCTCCTCTCCGGTGATTGGCCGCCAGAACTGTAGCTCAGGAAAGGCACACAGGTGGCCAATCACCGGCGAGGGGGTGGAGCCGAGCGGCCGCGCGAAAATCGAGTGCAGGACCAGCAGATAAGTGGTCAGTGTAGAGGTGCTGCTGCAACCACATATGCTGGCTGCAGCAGCACCATACGAGAACAGGGTCAGCAAGTGTCAGTGGGAGGAATAGTGCCCCATCATTGGTGTCACTGATACCAATGATGGAGCACTATTCCTCCCACTGACACCAACGATGGGGCACTATCCCCCCCCCCCCCCCACTGACACCAATGATGGGGCACTATTCCACCCCCCACTGACACCAACGATGGGGCACTATTCCACCCCCACTGACACCAATGATGGGGCACTATTCCACCCCCCACTAACACCAATGATGGGGCACTATTCCTCCCACTGATACCAATGATGGGGCACTATTCCACCCCCCACTGACACCAATGATGGGACACCATTCCTCCCACTGACACCAATGATGGGACACCATTCCTCCCACTGACACCAATGATGGGGCACTATTCCTCCCACTGATACCAATGATGGGGCACCATTCCTGCCACTGATACCAATGATGGGGCACTATTCCCCCCCACTGATACCAATGATGGGGCACTATTCCTGCCACTGATACCAATGATGGGGCACTATTCCTCCCACTGACACCAATGATGGGGCACTATTCCTCCCACTGACACCAATGATGGGGCACTATTCCTGCCACTGATACCAATGATGGGGCACTATTCCCCCCACTGATACTAATGATGGGGCACTATTCCTGCCACTGATACCAATGATGGGGTACTATTCCCCCCACTGATACTAATGATGGGGCACTATTCCTGCCACTGATACTAATGATGGGGCACTATTCCTGCCACTGATACCAATGATGGGGTACTATTCCCCCCACTGATACTAATGATGGGGCACTATTCCTCCCACTGATACTAATGATGGGGCACTATTCCTGCCACTAATGCCAATGATGGGGCACTATTCCTGCCACTGATACCAATAATGGGGCACTATTCCTCCCACTGACACCGATGATGGGGCACTATTCCTCCCACTGGTGTGCATTGGAAGAGGGGTAGTCTTATACGGCGAGTATAGCCCAAACACTACATTTTAGCAGGAAAAGTAGGGGGTCGTCTTATACGCCCAGTCGTCTTATACGCCGGCAAATACGGTATGAGTCATATGTAAGTCAGATGTTTGTAACTCCGGGACTGCCTTTACTAAAATGTAAATCCAGTGTCTCCAAATTTTCTAAACAACGGACAAGTTTACTGTCCTTCAGTCTTTAGGTGGCCTGGACTGTGAGCGCTGGGAATAGTAAATGCCTCAGTATCACTAGACAAGGTTTCAGTGTTAGTGGTGAGTGGTGGTAAAAAAATTACCTAGCACTTGTGGTCAGTAGAAGGAAGAATGGTGCCCCATCATTGTATTGTATTTGTGCCAGTAGGAGGAGTACTGTCCCACTGTTGGTGTCAGTGAAAGGATTAGTGCCCAATTATTGTCAGTGGGAGAAAGTGTCCTACTGTTGGTGTCAGTGGAAGGAATGATGTCCCATCATTACTGTCAGTGGTAGGAACAATGCCTTCTATAAGTGGGAGGAATACCCCAAGAATAGTGCTGCGCTGCCCCCTAGTGACCCAAAAAAAAAAAACTATTAATAAACACCCTCCTGAGCATCAAAACCAATGTGTAATTGAATAAATCTGTGAAACAAAGTCAATAGTAAATAAAAAAAAAAACTGGCGGAGCCACTAAATCCAAATGATATGTGAAACATATAATATATAACAAATAAATCGTAATCAAGTAGCAATAAACACCTGACCAACCTATAATAAACATATTATACAAAATATATACATAATAAATAAAAATAAAACATGATCACAATAGCAGTAAACACCCAGCTAAGCTGAAGTATAAAGTGAAAAGCAACAAAAACAGTATTAAATGTTTGTAAAACAAATGCCTGGCTGAGCAATCAGCCCCCCAATGAAATAAATATGTGATGAATCAAGTAAATGTTCATCTGGGCTAGATGTTCACAAAAAGTGCATAACAAAAAAAAAAGATAAGCAGCTGTACTGACTATATACAAAAACAGATAAATGGTGAATGATCGATAACACTTAATAGAGTGCAAAATGCAGTCCAAAAGTGATATAACAGTCTTTCTTCCAACATTTAAAATAATGCACCAGTGACTTCAACAGGTGTGCAAATCTGTCATGCTCCTCCATCTTCAGGCATGCGCTTTCACCGTAAACAGCTGACCCATAGAAAATATAGGTCAACATGCGCTCAATATTAGTGCTACTGGATCCTCTGCTTCCACAGGTCTCTCCAGGCACTGTCAAGAGCAAACCTTTATGTCCCCACTCCGATGGATAGGTGCTCAAAAGATAAGGAACAAGGAACTCCTCATAGTGTAGTAATGTTTTATTAGCATAAAAATTTATAACAAATGGCACGCACATAGATACAAGGTTCACAGAACGTATTACAAGCATTTAAGAGAAAAGCAGGGTGAACACAGATGGGCGGCTCGAGCATGCACCAAAAAAGACATCACAAGCCTCTGTCCTACGTGTTACACCACAAGTCGCGTGGCTTCTTCAGTGATCCCTGAAGTACCGTGATAGGTTGCCACCTGTGCAATAAGTCCATCCATGAAATTTCCTTGCTACTAAATATCCCAAGGTCAACTGTTAGTAGTATTATAACAAACTGGGAACAACAGCAACTCAGCTATGAAGTGGTAGGCAGTCTATGAATGAGAGAGCGGGGTCAGCACCAACTGTCTGCAGAGTCAATAGCTAAATACCTCCAAACATCATGTGGCCTTCAGATTAGCACAGCAAGAGTGCATAGAGAGCTTCATGAAATGGGTTTCCATGACTGAGCAGCTGCATCCAAGCCTATCATCAAAGCATCGGATGCAGTGGTGTAAAGCACGCTGCCACTGGACCCTAGAGCAGTGGAGACGTGTTCTCTAGAGTGACCAATCACGCTTCTCTGTCTGGCAATCTGATGGACGTGTCTGGGTTTGGCGGTTGCCAGGAGAACGGTATTTGCCTGACTGCATTGTGCCAAGTGTAAAGTATGGTGCAGGGGTGATTTATGGTGTGGGGTTTTTCAGGGGTTGGGCTTGACCCCTTGGTTCCAGTGAAGAGAACACTTAAAACGTCAGCATATCAAGACATTTTGGACAATTTCATGCTCCCAACTTTGTGGGAAGAGTTTTTGGGGATGGCCCCTTCCTGTTCAACAACATGACTGCACACCAGTGCACAAAGCAGGGTCCATAAAGACATGGATGAGCGAGTTTGGGGTGGAGGAACTTGACTGGCCTGAACAGAGTCCTGACCTCAACCCGATAGAACACCTTTGGGATTAATTACAGCAGAGACTCCAAGCCAGGCCTTCTCGTCCGACATCAATGCCTGACCTCACAAATGCGCTTCTGGAAGAATGGTCAAACCTTCCCATAGACACCCTCCTAAACCTTATGGACGGCCTTCCCAGAAGAGTTGAAGCTGTTATAGCTACAAACTCAATATTGAAACCTACGGACTAAGACTGGGATACCATTAAAGTTCATGTGCGTTAGACTTATCTTTTTTTTTTTTTTTTAGCAACCTTCTTTCTCTTCAGTCAAGGCTTCCAAAACCTTCCCTTCACACCCTCTTTTTGTGTTGATTTTACAGAAAGATTGGAGGTACCTTGATAGGGTTTTTGATGCTCTCAAATGGTTGTTGGTGCTGTGCACTTGTAATGAAGAGTTTGTCACAAAGTAAAAACGGTCAAACAAAATTCTATGTGTTCAAGTCTAAAAGGGAGAAGAGGAAGGAAGAGGACCAGGAAATGATGAAACATATAATCTACACAAAGCAAACCTCAATTCCTAACCATTTCATGGATATGGCAGTGGTTAAAATTAATAAAATCCATATGGTGTGCCAGAGGTAGTCTGATAAGCTAAGTATACAGTGCATGCTTAAAGTATTCATATATCTTCACGTTTTTCACTTTTGTTATGTTACAGCCTGATACTACAGTTGTTTTAAATTCATTTTTTTTTCATTAAGCTACACTCAGTACCACATGATGACAAAGTGAAAACAGATTTTTAAGAATGTTTGCAAATGTATGAAAAGGGAAAAACTGAAATATCACATTGGCATAAGTATTCAGACCCTTTGCAACAGCACTTGAAATTTAACTGGGAGGTGCCTCCCATTTCTTTTGATCGTTGCTGAGATGTTTCTACACCTTGATTGGAGTCCACCTGTGGTAAATTAAATTGATTGAAAATGATTTGGAAAGGCATATACCTCCTTTATAAAAGGCCTCACAGCTGCCAATGCATACTGTATCAGGGCAAAAACCATGTGGTCAAAGGAACTGCCCGCAAGCTCAGATACATACCGTATTTTCCGGCGTATAAGACGACTGGGCGTATAAGACGACCCCCTACTTTTCCTGTTAAAATATAGGGTTTGAGCCGTATAAGACTACCCCTCTTCCAACGCACACCAAATAAAAATGAAAAAACAGATTTGATTTCAATATGGTATGCTATTTCAGTATGGTATTCCAATGATGGGGTGCTATTCCTCCCACTGACACCAATGATGGGGCATGATTCCTCCCACTGACACCAATGATGGGGCACTATTTCATCCACTGATACCAATGATGAGGCACTACTCCTCCCACTGATACCAATGATGGGACACTATTCCTCCCACTGACACCAATGATGGTGCCCATCATTAGTGTCAGTGTGTGAGGAATAGTGTCCCATCATTAGTGTCAGTGGGAGGAATAGTGCCCCATCATTAGTCAGTGGGAGGAATAGTGCCCCATCATTGGTGTCAGTGGGAAGAATCGTGCCCCATCATTGGTGTCAGTGGGAGGAATAGTGTCCCATCATTAGTGTCAGTGGGAGGAATAGTGCCCCATCATTGGTATCAGTGGGAGGAATAGTGCCCCATCATTGGTGTCAGTGGAGGTATAGTGTCCCATCATTGGTGTCAGTGGGAGGAATAGCGTCCCATCATTGGTGTCAGTGGGAGGAATAGCGCCCCATCATTGGTGTCAGTGGGAGGAATAGCGCCCCATCATTGGTGTCAGTGGGAGGAATAGCGCCCCATCATTGGTATCAGTGGCAGGAATTGCGTCCCATCATTGGTGTCAGTGGGAGGAATTGCGCCCCATCATTGGTGTCAGTGGGAGGAATAGCACCCCATCATTGGTATCAGTGGGAAGGAATAGTGCCCCATCGTTGGTGTCAGTGGGGAGGAGGAATAGTGCCCCATCATTGGTATCAGTGGCAGGAATAGTGCCCCATCATTGGTATCAGTGGGGGAATAGTGCCCATCATTGGTATCAGTGGGAGTGCCCCATCATTTGGTAATGGGGGGTGCCCCATCATTGGTTATCATTGGTATCAGTGGGGGAATAGTGCCCCATCATTGGTATCAGTGGGAGGAATAGTGCCCCATCATTTGTGTCAGTGGGAGGAATAGTGCCCCATCATTGGTATCAGTGGGAGGAATAGTGCCCCTTCATTGGTATCAGTGGGAGGAATAGTGCCCCTTCATTGGTATCAGTGGGAGGAATAGTGCCCCATCATTGGGGTCAGTGGGAGGAATAGTGTTCCATCATTGGTACTGGTGGGAGGAATAGTGCCCCATCATTGGTGTCAGTGGGAGGAATAGCACCCCATCATTGGTATCAGTGGAAGGAATAGTGCCCCATCATTGGTGTCATTGGGGAGGAGGAATAGTGCCACATCATTGGTGTCAGTGGGAGGAATAGCACCCCATTATTGGTATCAGTGGAAGGAATAGTGCCCCATCATTGGTATCAGTGGGGAGAATAGTGCCCCATCATTGGTATCAGTGGGGAGAATAGTGCCCCATCATTGCTGTCAGTGGGGAGGAGGAATAGTGCCCCATCATTGGTATCAGTGGGGAGAATAGTGCCCCATCATTGCTGTCAGTGGGGAGGAGGAATAGTGCCCCATCATTGGTATCAGTGGGGAGAATAGTGCCCCATCATTGCTGTCAGTGGGGAGGAGGAATAGTGCCCCATCATTGGTGTCAGTGTGGAGGAGGAATAGTGCTCCATCGTTAGTGTCAGTGGGGGAGAGGAGCGGCTGCTCCTTCTTTCAGTTCGGCCGCTTGATTTTTGCGGGGCCGCTCGGCTCCGCCTCCTCTCCGATGATTGGTCGCCTGTGTGCCTTTCCAGTGCTGGCGCCCAATCACCGGTGAGGAGGCGGAGCCGAGCGGCAGCGTGACCATCGAGCGGCCGAACTGAAAGAAGGAGCAGCCGCGCTTCCTGGACCGGATCGTCGTGGGACCGGAGCCAGATAAGGTACAGCAGCCCCTCTGCCCACCCCTGTATTTAGTGTCCATTGGAGGAGGAGGGGGGGTGGCGCCGCCCCTCGAAAAAGTGCCGCCCTGACACCGACTCGCCGTATACCGGTGTATAAGACGACCCCCGACTTTTCAGAAGATTTTCGTGGGTTGAAAAGTCGTCTTATATGCCGGAAAATACGGTAATTATTGCAATGCACAAATCTGGGGAAGACTAAAAAAAAAAATGCTGCAGTGAAGGTTCCCAAGAACACAGCGGCCTCCATAATTCTAAAGTTGAAGAAGTTTGTCACAACCAGGACTCTTCCAAGAGTTGGTCACCCAGCCAAATTGAGCAATCAAAAGAGAAGGGCCTTCGTAAGAGTGGTAATGAAGAACCCACTGCAGCCCTCCACTGATCTGGTGGATTGTGTACCTCCGTGCAAAACATGAACGCCCACTTGGAGTTTAAAAAAAAAAAAAAGCACCCGAAGGACGCTCAGACCGTGAAGAGCAAAATTCTCTGATCTGATTAAACCAAGATTGAACTGCTTGGCCTCAATTCTACACATTGTTTGGAGGAAACCAGGCACCGCTCATCATCTGCCCAATACCATCCCAACAGTGAAGCATGTTGGTGGCGGCATCATGCTGTAGGGGTGTTTTTTCAGCAGCAGAGACTGGGAGACTGGGTAAGATGGGTAATGTAATGTCATGGGTAAGATAAATCTGAATGGATCAAAGTACAGAGATGCCCTCAATGAAAAACCTGTTCCACAGCACTCAGGACCTCAGACTAGGCTGAAGGTTCATTTTCCGACATGACAACGATCCTAAGCACACAGCCAAGACAACACAGCAGTGGCTTAAGTACAACTCTGAATGTCCCAGATTGGCCCAGTCAGAGCCCTGACCTGAACCCTATTAAACATCTCTGGAGAGACCTGAAAACAGTTTTCCGCTGACGGTCCCATCCAACTGACTGAGCTTGAGAGGATTTGTAAAGAAGAATGGCAGAAAATCCCCCAATTCAGGTGTGCAAAGCTTATGGCATCATGCCGAAAAAAAGATTCAAGGCTGTAATTGTTGCCAAAGGTGCTTCAAAAAAGTAGTGACTAAAGGGTCTGAATACGTAAGTACAAGTGATATTTTAGTTTTTTTATTTTTAAGAAATTCACAGACCTTTATAATGTTCTTTTTTTCGTTTTGTCATTATAGGGAACTGAGTGTAGAGCTACAGGCAGTCCTTTTTGTTCTTGTCCATCTTTGGGCCTTCTATCTGATAATTGGCTGTGTTGCCTACCCCTCAATTGGACTGCTTTTGGATGTTCCAAAGGTTTAACCACTTAAGCTCTTTTGATGTGTCCCATATACCCATGCATTGAAAAAGTCTGAAGAAATTTATGGCTGCAGCAACAGCTGTGAACTTGATTTTGTCAGCAGGCTTTTGGCTATTGAGCAAAAGGGATCTGAGCCTATGTAGAGCCGCTCATTCACTTTTTAAAAGGGTATCGTCACACGAAGCTGCAGTGGGAGAAACAATTCAAGGTCCTTCAGTTACGGGTATCTCTACACTGGTGAGCTGTAAAGGTATTTAAGTGTCACCTAATGATAATTTTGGGTACCGTAACTTTTGCCAATTCACAGGCACACGCAGCTTTAAAGCTGGATGTATTTGGTATCAATTTAGTCAATGTAACCTCATATTTTATTTTGTACAATTAAATTTGAGATTATATTGTCTGTACTAAAACACATTTTACTGCAAGTGTCCATTCCTCCTCCTGTGGGCAGCAATATAACTGGAATGTTTAAGACTTCCTGCGTCCCTCCATGAACTCCTAGGAAAATTATTTACATTTTATTTTTAAACATGTTAAAGCAATACACATTTACATTTTAGACTATAAGACATATTTGGTTAAAACATTATGAAGGCTTCAGGAATAAATTTATGGTATTCCTTTCATTTTTTTTCCCCTCTTGATTTTTGCTTTATAAATTTTGTCTTATCCACAGAATATCCTACCCCTCCTAATGTGAGCATCAGCAAGCTCCTCTATAGCCGCCAGAGGACTGAGGTTGATGTGGAATGGATGACGCAGGGGGTGGGAGATTTAACGGGTTTCATGGTCCAGCGTCAAGCCAGCATCCGATCAACATCTCCTAGGAGATCTGTACAGACCGCCCCCTGGGATACTGTGGCCAGCGACATTGAACCCGACATCCGTGGCCACAAACTTGCTGGTCTGGACCCTACCATCTTATATGCCTTCAGAATACTGGCTGTTAACCATAAAACTACAGGATTCCCCTCTGAGGTTAAAACACCAGGTACTGTTTGATTTATTAACTAGAAATATGTTGCTGAATCTTAAATACAAAGGTTGGCAGCTCCAAGGCACTCCAAATGATTGGCTTATCAAGTCCCAGCATTTCCTTCAACAGCCAGAGAGCTGCAGGTTGTCAAGCCCAACTGGGATGGGGGGAGAGCAGATACCCCTTGTGGCCCTTCTTGTTTTTACAAAAACAGGGTCATTATAGTCAGAAGAGAAAATGGTCACATTCATGACTGCATATTAGGGTGGGTAAATTAGTGAACTATCATAACTTTCATCTCTGCATTATTTCCCATGACCCTCTGCTATTGACCCTGTAGCTTTTACAAATTGGGCCTGTTTGCCCCATGTCTCAAGCAACCATCCCTCTCCCAAATTAGTCAAAAAAATTTCCAAACAGAAAACAGTATGTATGTTCACTGACCCCCTGATTCGCATATCTGCGATTTCCAGTGCGGGCGGCGTGCCATTAGAATTAATGGCATCCGCCCGCGGGTCCTCATTCTTCTGTGTGGGTGGTGTGGCTGCACAGATTTTTTGTGCAGATCTGCAGCGGCACCACCCACACAGATGTGAACCTAGCCTTAGTGTTTATGATGTTTATTCTGATACAGTTGTACTGAAACTGCCCTCCTCAAAATCACTAACGACCGTACTCAACGCCCAAAGCCAAGGGCGAGGGGACTACTCTGTCCTCCTTCTCCTGGACCTCTCTGCGGCCTTCGACACAGTTGACCACCCCCTCCTCCTTAATAAACTACTCTCCCTTGGCATCGGAGATACGATATGCTCTCTCTTGGTTCTCATCCTACTATCCCAACGCTCCTTCAGTGTCACCTACAATGGTGCCACCTCCCCCTCCCTCCCCCTCTCTGTTGGGGTCCCCCAAGGCTCTGTCCTTGGACCCCTTCTCTTCTCCATCTACACCTCCTCCCTGGGCAAACTCATACAATCTCACGGCTTCAACTATCACCTCTATGCTGACGACGACGCCCAAATCTACCTCTCCACCCCTCACCTCACCCCCACTATCGCCGCCCGCATCACTCAGTCACCTCCTAAATGACATCTCAGACTGGATGTCGCTACATTTCCTCAAGCTCAACCTCTCCAAAACCGAGCTCCTCATCTTTCCCCCTGCCAACACCCCCCCCCCCCCCCCCCCATCCTATCCATCATCACCAACAACTCCACTATCACTCCCCGCCCCGCAAAGCCAAAGTCCTTGGCGTCATTCTTGACGCGAACCTCTCCCTCCAACCGCATGTCAAATCACTCACAAACGCATGCAGGCTCCTTCTTCGCAACATTGCCAAGATACGCTCCTTCCTCACCCCAGAAACACCACCAAACTTCTAGTACACTCCCCTCATCATCTCACGCCTTGACTACTGCAACTCCCTCCTCACTTGCCTACCCAAGTGCAGGCTCTCCCCGCTCCAGACCATCCTGAACTCAGCTGCCAGACTCATCCACCTCACCACCCGCTCCACCTCTGCCACCCCCCTCTGCCTCTCCCTCCACTGGCTCCCGATTGCCCAACGCATCAAATTTAAACTCCTAACCCTGACCTACAAAGCCGTTCACAACACTGCCCTGACTACCTCACCAACCTGATCACCAAGTACCACCCTACCCGTACCCTTCGCTCCTCACAGGACCTCCTTCTATCCTGCTCCCTGGTCTCCTCCTCCCATGCACGACTGCAGGACTTCTCCAGGTCCTCCCCCATCCTCTGGAACTCACTGCCCCAATCCATCAGACTGTCGCCTTCCCTATTCACATTCAGGCGCTCCCTCAAAACCCATCTCTTCAGGGAAGCCTACCCCAAAACCCTCACCTAACGGCCATCCTCCCTCATTCCTCCCACCACTTCATCCCCCTCAGCCACTTTCTACTGTACCACTAACCACCCTCCCTCCTCCTAGATTGTAAGCTCGTAAGAGTAGGCCCCCTCTTACCCCCCGTACGTTGTTTGTTGTTGTTGTACTGTGCCATGTATTGTCCCCCCTATTGTACAGCGCTGAGCAAAACCCTTTGGCGCTATATAAACCTCGTAGTAATAATAATAATAATAATAATAAAAGTTTGCACACCGTGGCAGAAATCGTGAAATTTTGGAAGTTGATATTGAAAATATGTTTGATCATGCCAAAAAACTATTTTTTTACAGGGATAGTGATAATTTATTTTATCACATAATTTGTTTGGCTCCTTCCTAAATCATAACGATAACAGAAATCGCCCAAATGGCCCTGATCAAAAGTTTCCATCCCCTGGAATGTTTGGCCTTGGTACAAGCACACAAGGTGACACACACAGGTAAAATGGCAATGAAAGGTTATTTTTCCCACATCTGTGGCTTTTTAAATTACAATTATGCCTGTGTTTAAATAGTCGATGAGTTTGTTAGCTTTCAACGTGGATGCACTGAGCAAAAAAAAAAAAGGCTAGATACTGAGCCATGGGGAGCAGAAAAGAACAATCAAAAGACCTGAGTAACAAGATATTGGAACTTATAAAGATGGAAAAGGATATTAAAAAAATATTCCAAAGCCTTCAATATGCCAGTCAGTGCTGATCCATCACTTAAGTGAATGATTCAGGGGTTTCTTGATGCCAAGATCAGGTAGACACAACAAGAATTGGGGGATACAAAGAAAAACCCAAATGTAACTTCAGGTGAAAATACAGGCTGTACTGGAAAAAGATGTTTTTGGTTGTTTCAAGGAGCACAATACGATCATGCAGCTCATTTTTGTTCAAGTATAATAAATGACTTTATATGAACACTATCCTTAAGTAAAGTTTTTGGCATGATCAGTCATATTTCAATATTAATGCTAAAATTGCATGACTTCTGCAAGGGTATGCAAACTTTTGAAGCACAACTGTAATGTATTTTAACTTGTACTTTTATTGTAATTTTCCATGCAGTTTGCTTGCTGTACTATATTTTTATGTAATACTCCACATACAGATTTGTAGACAAGAGACAGTTCATTCCAGTATACTGCAGGGCCAGTGTGCATGTCTGATTTGGGAGGAAAGTGTTTTGTAGTTAATTACACTTAGCTCTGTGTTTGGCACTTTCCAAGATCTGACTCGTTGAGAACTGTGCCCTAAAGCTGTGTGCCATGCAGTCCTTCCATATTGGCCCCGCAGTACCCCTCAATGTCCCACAGTGCCCCTAGGCCCCTGATATCTCTGGGCCCCCACAGTGCCCAACCTACCTTGTGGCAGAGCCTCCAGCCCTCCATAGTTCCTCCAACCTTCAACAGTGTCCACACAGTAATCCATCATCCTCTTACAGTGCACACTGGGCCCCCTGGCCCCCGTAGTGCTCTGTCTGTCACAAGTGGCCCATGCAAAACTATTAGCCTTCTAGAGAGATCCCCAACACCCCCATAGTTAGGCCACTAGCCCCCATCCCCTACAAAGCAGCCCAGTCTGCTGCAGAATCCCCTAAACCCCTCATAGTTTTCAGAGAACCTTCCTATGGAAAAGACAACATGGAACATTAATTAACACAGTTCACCTACCTTCCAGTTTTTTGTGATTAAATGGAAGGATTTCAATGCTGCTCCCCGATAAACCTTTTGTAGTTCATATGTAGATCTGATCTAGCATTTGTTTCTCTGATTTGTGCAGTTTCGGTTGGCATATCATTACCATATTAATTACAGTATGGTACAAAACACAAGATACGGTTACGGCAACTTTCTTCCTTACATGTCATTTAATCTCTTCTTTATGACATACTATTCCTTTAACAGAAACATGAAACCTTGTACTTGGAATTGGGGGTTTCTTGGTCTTCCGTTCTTTTGCCTATCAAATTACTATTAATAATGTAACAGTATAATTTATCCTCAGTTGTTGTGTTTATTGTACTGTTCTGGCTTAGGCTGGGACTTGCCCGTCCTTGCTTCTGTGGCTTTTTTTTTAGAAGGCTTGGGTGGTTTGTTAAAGCCATTACCACAACCTCAAAACATTAGAGTCTGTTCACCACTGTGCTGCAGTATTCTGAATGGACCATGACATAGCAACAATGGCACCTGCAGTATTTTTTATTTTTTTTTCTTTTTCTTTCCACTGCAGTGGACCTCGTCCGTTGTCATGTATTGTGGAGCAGGTACATGGGTGTATGCTTTTGCTCTCCTTTTTAAAACGAATGGCAGTGCACGTAACACCAAGATGCAGTGCACTGCGGGAAGGTATGTCTGACCACAGTGCACCAGGTTTGAACAGGTCCAAGCCATACTACTTTTGTGGACAATAAGTAGACATTACAGACAGAGATCCTCCTGCGCAAAAGGGAAATAAACCTACTGGAAGCTGCCAGCACTTAACCTGCTACCCAAACAGTGTAAATAATATTAAAATTATAAATAGTGCAGTGCTCAAGAAACAATACTAACTCAAATAATACAATAAATGTGCTCACATGCAATAGTGTCACAAAATTAATCAAAAACAAATCATTAAGTGATATATCTTCATTATAAAGTGCCACTCAGTATTATTCCCTATCTCTTAGTGCCCACATAATCAAACAAATATAAAAAATAAACTACCCATTTGAAAAAACAATTTTCACAGTGCTCCTAGTGTAATAACGTGACCACCCTTTATATACTACTCAAAAAAGTCCAAAAAATTGTAGAGAAATGTCCATAAAAAACTGATAATAATAAATTCATGCAATGTGCAAACAAAAGTGCAAAACGAATGTGTTCTTATTCCGCAACCGTGCCACTCTTCACCTCCTAAGGCTAGATTGCCTCCTCACCTCCTTAAACCGACCCCTAAGGGCCAAACAGCTTTCAGGATCACTCTGGATCCTTATCCCCTGGCGACAAGCACTTCTCCTGACGTTGTGGATCACTTTAGGGGACATCCATTGCCCCCAATCGGAAGCCTCTGGAGAACAATTGCTCACCAACCCAGTGAACAGAAAAGAATCCTATTAGTTTTCTTTTTTTCAGGCTTTTTCCCCCTTTGTT